TAATATGTGATTCTCTTTCTCCACGAATTAATTAAAGTTAACTATGCCGATATTATCGATTTTATCAAATGATTTAGAATGGCCAAGGTGATTTTGTAGTAATTCTCACGTAGAAATAGGTTCAGTTCATCGAGATTTGATGGAACCTGCTTCTAGATACGACATTGGAGGATCGACCAGAGAATCGTTCTAAATATTTCCTTAAATACAAGTTATTTCATTGCGCGAGTTCTATATTTAGGAGTCCTATCTTGCTCCAATCCTGAAGATAAGCAGAATTACCTTCTAGGGTGGCAAATGAGGTGATCTGCAATAGTTTGAATCTCGTAAAAGTCGTCGATATCATCCTGAATGAATGCTAGCCGACCAGGGTCATTACATTTAAACCACCCTATACCATGATTTTCTCTCTGTTCTTCAGAAATCAATTGACATCGACTCTTGAATTCTTTGGATATCGGCGAATAGTCTTTCTGAATAATTTGTGGAAGATTCTGCTAATTGGTATCCTTCAGCGTCCATCTGCTAACATTGGCATCGCATAGAGCTAAATATTTCCCCAGCTAAACTGCTCGAGTTGGTGCTGTATCGTCTACAGAGATACGTGTCCCTGGATCATCAAACAGTTTTGCATCAGTGTTTTCGCTGTTGTTCCATTCTTTCGTCGAACCGAATCGCCAAGAGCCTTATATTCAACGGCAGTGATATTGCGAGGTCGACCATTACGGTACCCATTCTACACTATGCGATGTTGTCTTTTATTTAGGTGATATTGTATTTAATAGTCCAGAGGATGATCTCTGTCAGGTGAGCAATTGTGACAAAAGATCGATTGCTGCTCTTCCAGTACTGTAAAATGACTTATTGCTGCGCTTTCAGCGAAAAAGGATTTCGTTGTCAAGGCCCTTTCTCTCAGAGCACGAATGTTTACGACAATTTCTGGTTTACACAGCTACATATCGACTTCTCCTCATCTTCTACAGAGTTCTCAAAAAAATGCTTATGCGAGGGGAAGGACTTTTGAAACTTACTGTATCTCTTTGGCTTAAGGCTGCTTAGCTGTAAGTTAATATTGGCAAGGGGACAAAGAATGAAATTTCCACGTAGAAATGGCATGTTTTTTTCTCTATTTTTGGTTCATTTCTAATCAATCCTAAGTCAGAGAAATATTCTGATCATATTTCTGAAAATAGCACAAAGTTCTGACGTAAGTTGACTATTTTTGATTCTCAATAATTACGTTTAGATGATTGAAAAATGAATAAATATTTTGTGTCAAGACTTTTGGAATATGAATTATGCTGATAATTATGTAATAGATTTATCAGGAAATTATTTTGATAAATTTTCATAACAGATGAAGAAAATTTCGACGATGATTTGTTTTTAATCATTGATTGTTAATTAAAACAATAATAATTTTTTCAATTAATTTTATATGAATTTTAAATGGATATAATTTTTCTATTAGATAGTTATAGAAAAAAGAATTTGTCCAATTATTGACTTAACTTCGAAAGCATTTAAATAATAATTTTCAAGTGAATATGAAAGATTTTTTTAGTTGTAAAATTTGATTGAAACATAATAGAACGAAATGAAAGAATTTCTGACATTATTTTATGATAGATTTAGGAAAAAAATGAAATTATTTTATGGTTTAACGATAGATTCATATTATATGGTTGAACAGATCTTTGACCAATAAATACTATAATATGATTATTTGTATTGAATATATTTAAAGAAAATTGTTAGGAAAAGGGTGTGGGTGTGTGGGTGTATGGGTGTGGGTATGGATGTGGGTAAGAAGGACGCTCAAACTCACACCCACATCCACACCACAGCAATTTTTAAAAACATGCTATAGACAAACACACACTCGCATATTTAGGCTGACATATTTTGTTTTAAGTTAACTTTCGAGACCCTAGACTATGCAGTCTAGTGAATAAAAAGGTTACAAAAAACTATAAGATATACCGTAGTATGAGAATCAGAGTGATTTTTAAAATGTGTTACAAACAGATACAAACAAATGACTACTCACTCTTGAGAATACGAAGAAATAAAATGCTTCGACCATTTCGTTATTGATCGTTACGTGTCATTTGCCAAATGGCTGTAAGGTGCTATTTCATTAATTGCTATAATGTGTCATTCCATAAATGATTGTAAGCCGTCAATTGAATAATAATGACTGAGAGGTGTCATTTCAAAATTGCTACTATTTTTCATAATTAATAGCACAAAAAAAATACTGTAGAAAAGATCGGTGAATGTTTTATATACAAATATTTTTCGAAATAAAACGTTTCACATAGAAAACATTGAACAATAGCAGGTAATACTAAATGATATCGATCATAAATATTTGCTGTTGAATTTTTCATCAAAACTCATTTAACCCTAGTTTTCAATATTATTGTCTATAAAATTGATAACCCTTTTAGATGAAATTAGATTATTTTCCAATAACCCTTGTTGTATCACGTATAAGACTATCTATTTGACATGATTAGGTATTTTATTACGAAACCTGCATTTATCTGAAGTATAACTATTCTTACAACACCCAGAGTATCGAAAATAGATGGAGTAGAGAATTGCCACGAAATACATTCGATTTTCACCCGAAAATCGACGAGTTTATTTCAATCTTTCGACAAATTTACAATTTTCATCATCAGGAAATAACAAAAAAGAAGCATAGTAGAGACATTGTATTTGTTTGCCTCATCACTCGTCGAGAACGATGGATAAATGCAACATCTCTAGCCTGCTCCTTTTTGTTATTTCCTGATGATGACAATTGTAAATTTGTGGAAAGATTAAAATAAACTCGTCGATTTTCGTTGAAAAACAACATGTATTTCGTGGCAGATCTCTACTCTATCTATTCTCTAATGTTCTCTCTTCAAACTATATCTAGTGGCATTTACAAAAGCACTTGATAGCCATTTCTGCACTTATACAAGTCCTATCCAGTCGTTACTCATTTTCCATGTAAAAAAGTGAATAAAAATCACTTTGAAGTGCTTCTTATATATTGATAAAATAAAAATAGCTTCCTTTCTTCTTTTCAGTGGATTCTAGTAGTTCTTTCTACTACTCACAAAATGATTAGGAATGTAATTACCTGTAAGCAAGTAAGTATGAAGAGCTTTCTGCTGCACCAGAAAAAGTAAAAAAAATACTAATAAGTGAACATTTTTAAGTAAAAAGTGGTTTTTACTTATATGTATACTTATAGCTACTTAAAAAAGTTCACTGATATGTATTTTTTCACTTCGTGTAAAAATAATGAAAGTACTTAATAATGACTTTTTTGGATCAAAACTTTTACATGGGACGTCTGTCACGGTCTGTGTGGGAAGGGGTATGATCCAATTTTCTCGCTAAATATGATTTAGTCTCTCATCATCTTCCAGAAAAAATAATATTGATCGAAGAGATTTAAAAAATTCGATCTAACACAATTTTAGAAAATTGTCATCATATTTCTAAACGATCATTGCGGCTTGAATAAAATATAGGCAAATATAGAATAATTAATTCATACAAAGCGTTTCGGAGAAGGTTTCACGACGCATATTTTGATGACAAAATTTCATTATTTTCGAACTCAAGAACATAATTGAATAGACATTCGACAAAGAGAAGTTTTAGACTCTTAGTATTTTTTTTATGCAAATCAATCGATCGATAGGCTTCTCTAGATCATACAAAAAAATATCGATGTGTATTAATTTATTCAAGTAAGAGCTATTTGTCTTAATAACTCACTTTTGATCGATTGTCTTCTAAAGAAAAAATCTTTGTGTTTGATTGGATAGTGTTTGTCTCGAACAAAATAGGCAAAGACAAAAATATACTTACGAGTGAGAATCCCTTTTTTTTATTACGAAAGCTCTGTATTCTAATCGAATCTTTATAATCTTATCTTAGGTGTAAAACTCGTAACATAAGAAACTGACACAATATTTTTCTTGATTAATTTATTGAACTTCATAATCATCTAATTCTTTTTCTATGTCATGATTGATCTTGTCAACAATCTAGCCTAATGGAAGAATAATACACATTGTTAACAGTATATCGAGATATTATCTGCATTGCTGACAGTCGGCAAATCGATCAGCTAGCAACAAAACAAAAACAAACTGACTGTATTCTACACATCAATATTCATTCCTTATGCGTCTGATATTTTGTCTTCTTTGTTGAATATTTGTGTCTTTTATCTTGACGAGTCATATGGTCTCCGCCTTACACATCAATACAACAAATTTTCTTGCGCTTGTTTTCTTGATCTGACCATTTTTCTCTGTGACCTTCTTTCGTCAAGTTTTCTGTTATCACCATGTCTGTTTCAATTAATAGGCTAGTTTGCATGTGCTATTCTCTACTTTCTATTGTTAGATAATTATGTATGCTTCATTCTATGTATATTTCTTCCTAAACACGAGAAGGATGTTTAGAACTGTCATAAACATTATACTATTCTATTAAGACTGGTAAGTACGAACTTTCGATCGATTCCAATGTTATCATTATGAAGAGTATGACAACGAAACACATGAATATATATAACTGTTATACGCATAGCTTGATTTGTAAGAATATTTCAAACACATCACTCACAAGCCGTTAAAATTTTCAATGATGCTCGACACCCTTTATTTGCTCTTTCACTCTAGTCATTAACTTTCTTATCCTGTTTCATCTATCAGCTGTCTTATCTTTCCACATTCTATAAGCCACTTTTCTGTCCCCGCCATCTTCCTATGCAAGAATTAATTTTCATTCTTTGTTTAACCTCTCATCGAAATAGACGGTCAGTCAACTTTTACAAAGGCGAACCCTGTATAATTCCGTATTTACAAAAATTTCAATCAAGTCTAAAATGTCTTTAAATCCAGCTTTTTAACAAGATTTGATCTGAATGACAGATATAAGTCGTAAGGTTTCTAATCAATTTTTATTTCATTTATTTAGTTATGGAATTGTTTTCATTAACAACGAATAAAACAGTAACAGACATAAAATGGCAGGCATATCCAATTGGCTTTTTCCTATTACTGTTATGTCTGTTCACTATAATAGGTAATCTATTAGTTCTATATGTTATAATTCGCCAATATACGTTACATACATCTAAATATTACTATATTGCATCATTGACATTTGCTGATCTCTTAGTTGGATTAATTGGAATGCCGTTCGCGTTTATATTTGAAATGACGGATGATGAACATTGGTTGTTCCCACGACACCTTAGTTTTTTATGCGATTTTTTTTATTCCATGGATGCATTTGGAACAACAGCATCAATATTTGGACTATCCGCTATTGGAATAGATCGGTATGTGGCTATTACAAGGCCACTGGAATATCCAAATTCATTTATATCAAAAAGATGGTATTATGTGTTATCATTTATATGGGTATTTTCAGCTGTTATATCAGTTCCACCAGTAATTTTTATTGGAAGAGAACAAGTATCTAGTCGTACGTAAAAGAGAATGTTTTTTTTTCCTGTTTAATGTCTTGAGCAATTGGTACAAATAAGGTTTAAGTCTAAAAGAAGTTTGACAATTTTTCTCGAACATGAGTGTATATAAATCGCAAAGATTAAGTTTCTTGCCAAAAACTGTATAAAACGTTGAATAGTTAGCTTAGTTGCCGATTTTATTGCCGCTTTTTTGTCACGAGTTTTGTCTAAAATAAGTATTTGCACACATGAACTATTCATAAAATTCTAGTAAAAGGAATTCCAATCTATTCTACATAGTAGAGCGAGACCTAAACTGCTGGATAATTGAGATGGGTGATTTCTATTTCTCATCTATATTATAATGACGAGTGTCTGTGTCTAGTCCTTCTCTGATTGGCTGATGCAAGGAACCAGCCAGAGTTCGAGGTGAGTTTTTCGTTTGTTTCCGTCCGGCGCAGGACATACTGTGGTCTAAGTCGATTGATAGAAAGCTCGGAAGCACATCTCTTTCTAAATGTGAATCCTTATATTAAACAAAAAAGACAGTCGTGAGCTCCTGTTTACTTTAAACAAAGCATCACGCAGAGACACACGCAAACAACACTGCATGTGAATGAGGGTTGTGTCTAAAGTAAACAAGCATCAAGTATTTGATTCAAAATGTTTATGAAAGATTAAAGAGTCTTAAGAATAACTTGGACTGGCAAAGTGCGTTTAAGTTTCTTGAATTTAGAAAAAATTTTATTCATTCAGAAAGTTTGTCTTATTTTTTGGCTTCTATCAGATTTTGTAATACTACAATCCAGTATTTTAACCGTACAAAAATAAAGTTGTCAAACGATCAGTTGAGTTCGAAAATCAAGATTTTCTTAACATTCTTTGGTTGTACCACTTTTTCGCATTGAATAAATGTCTTTGAAAAACAAGATTTTCAACATCAAAGTTAATAGAAACTATCTTGTTTATATGTAATTAAAGTTTATTAAGTCTTCTACGCAAGCATATTATATCAAACAAAAAACAGTTTTTTTATCAGATATTATAAGAAAAACTACATGGGAGATTTTAGATAGAAAATCAAGTTTTTAATAAACATATTTTTTCTAAAGTCTGTAGTTTTGTCACTAGGATTCGTTATTACGATATATTGAATAGAAAATGCATGCAGAACTTTCGCCTTAATTGTTACAAGAGGTTAGCACGACGATTTATGTTTTTATCGAGACTATATCACCAAAGTTCATTGTTGTATTAGGTTTAGAACGATCAAATATATCAAACGGGACAATAATTAAACCGCTGTTAACATTAGATGAATGCAACGTTCCGAGCCATCCTTATTATATATTATTCATATCCATTGCATCATTTTATCTACCTTTGATCGTTATGATTTACGTCTATATTCAAATGTATTCGGCAGCTAAACAACAAGCTCAAGCACTTCGTTCTGGCTACAAGTGTCAGTATCTGATGCAATCTGAAAAATCTTCTACTACGAAAATTCCTTTGAGGCAAATGTTTTGTGGGAGAAGATTCCGAATTAAAAAAAGAGCGGAAATCTTAAATGAAGATGGAAATAAAAAATCAGACATGCTATTACAGAAACGTAGACCGTCACATGAATTGTTAACTCTCCGTATTCATCACGGTACATATAAAAATCCCAATATAGAAGAGCTCAATCAGAATAACAAACATAGCAAGAAATCTTTGAATAAATTTTCAACAAGATATGAACAAACAAAAAATTTTTGGCGACAAATCTCGAATAATCAAAAAGCGGGAAAATTCGTCGGTATTGTTATGGGCGTATTTATTGTTTGTTGGTTACCATTTCATGTTTATTTTCTATTGAGTGGTGTTTTTGGTTTGCGTTTAAAAGATGAACAAAATCATGAATTATTATTCGACATATTTTCATGGTTAGGATATATGAATTCAGCATTGGATGTTCTTATTTATTCCTTCACTTCCAATGAACTAAGAACTATATTCATGACATTATTTTGTAAGTCGTTTCATTCAATATAAATAAAATAAATTGTCATTCTATGTGGATATTATGTAAATACATGATATATTTTAACGGTCTCTTTTAATTATTCGACTTGATATTGATTCTTGTTTCAAAGAAAAACGTTAATTTCCCAAAATAATAATCCGATCCGATCGAAACTATATTTAGTCAAAATTTCAACAATTTTCATAAGCAACCATGTTACTTATCTTCAATTGCAATCGGACTAAGTTCATATGTTGAAAAATAACTTGATATGTTAAGTAATTTCTGAATACCATATCTTCATTCATACGGATAGAAATAAAAAAAAAGTATTATAATCCATCAGTCGTCGATCAATGGAGTAGAAATCTTCTCGAGTCAATCGACAAAAGTTAACTTTAGCTTTGATCATTCTCGATTCAACTTTTTTTCTTTTGTTGTTAAGCCTGAACAGCTAAATATTTCAGAAACTATCAATCTAATACATCTTTGTCAGCATATATACTCATCTTGTCTGCTGTTGCACCTCGAATAGTGGCAAAATCAAGCGATCCTTCATATCTTTTTTTAGTGGACAGTCGAGCGAATGATGTTTCTCATGAAGGATTTCCTCTAATCTATCTTCATTATTGTTGGTGTCACTTCCTTCTCTGCCAACACCCATACCCAGACCTGTTTTAACACTTGTTCTATTATTAGGGGCATTTTGAGAGTCTTTTTTCAAAGTCTATATCATGACTTCAATTAGTTCTTCCTGATCTATACGAGCTACAGCTGCTTTACTTGTCATGATACATCTATTTTAGATTGTCTTACATCTTCAATGCTCTTCTACTCTCGATAAAGTTAAGTAGACTTTTCTATTTAATGAAAGACATTTGGAGTTGGTGAATCTCGTGACCGTATTTCACTTTTCTCTTTTCTATGTATGAAAAGCACGTATTAACTCACAGCACTCAGTAAAGCGCAAAATTCTATGAAAAACATTGAGTTGGAATATTAAAACACTTTTCTTCGTCACTGAGATCGGTCTTGAAAATGGAGTCACTCGCCTCCAGCGTCTTTTCTTTTTTTATGAAAGGAAGAAACCTGTTGTGTATCGTGAGATATCCAAATTATGTTGGACACGACAAAGGTCCTAAGAGTGTGGATGTGAGTGTAAGCAGGTGTGGGTATTACACAAGAGAAAATCCTCACCCACACCCACACCCTATTGACGACAAAAACCAATCTTGATATGGTTAAATTCGTATATTCAATTGTTGTGGAAGGCTACTTTTATCAAGGAAACTCTGAAACCATACCTTTTAAAGATCTAAGTAGCAGCAAAATATTTGATGGTTCTATAAATATGGAACAACAATAGGCAATTCTCTTGCTGTACGGAACAGTAATATATTTTTATTTTGTCGTCTATCTTCACAACTTTCAATGATCTTTGGCCGATAGTGTAAAGGATTTCCAGCGTATGATTTCCCGGTAATCCTAGTTGAACGTATTGCATAGAATATATATAAAATTGATCCCCGGGTGCTTGTGAAACTATTCTTCAACGGTATTGAAAAATCATGTTTCAAAAAAAGCTAATAATTTGAAAGTCAGAGAAAAAGATTCCAAAAAATAATGATTATTTGCATTATCGGCTATATATACTACGATGCGATGAAATTCAATTATGTTTAGAGAATTTAGTACAAATTGAGGGAAGTTTTTCTGAACAAAATTTGATTTAACATGAAGTAAAATGTGAAATAAAATTATCCAGATTTTGTTGATCACGTCTCAGTCCTAAGTTTGGTTGCGTTCATTAAAGCAATACTGATTTAGTCCTAGGTCATGCTTTTTTAAAAACCAATGTAAAATCAACAATAAACGAAGTAATGGCGCAATAAAGTCTCGCGTCTTATTCTAGTTGAACAGCCTCTTTTCCTCAAACGAATACTTGGGTGCCTGGATGTTTCTCTAGTTATGAGTCTGGCAATCGTTTGAAATAAAAATTAGACAAAATTTGATATCAATTCATCTTTTGTTACTAAAAAATAATTCCTGTGTTAGTGCTGTAATACTGACAAAGTGGTGTTCTGTATTGTCGACATTACTCTATAGAAGTATTGTAAAATCAATAGGTGGATTAGGATCAGAGCCTTCCGTTAGACAGCTTAAAAAGAACATTATTTTACTGAGTATTGGTTTTAACAGTAGGTTTATTTCGCTTCTGAGAAAAGAAATATGGGTATGGGTGTGGGTGTGGGTGTGGGTGTAGATCTTCTCTTAACACCCACACCCAAATCAATGATTTCAAAATGAAGTCACCAAACTACACAAAAACTGTTCATTCGATGATTTCAGATCTGTCGAATTTTGGTGTTTATTGTGCGGATAAGATTAAAATTAGTCTTAACGGGAACCGATCAAAAACTTTTTTCGAAACTTCGACCCAAAAGTTACTGTTCAGTATGTCAGTTATGCAATATCTATACGGATTCTCACAAGAATTCATGCAGTTTGCTAAAGATTTTTACTCTAAGAATAATACCTAGTTGAGCATGTCCAGACATAAGGTCTGTTCCAAGGAATGAAATTTGCAGATGTGATTGATGTTAGTTCACACTTGTAAAATATTTTTTGAGCGTCATTGTTAGTGTATGCTGATAACATGTATCTCGATTCTCTTCATTCTCTTTCCTTTGATCGTTCCTTTATTCGTCACATACTTGTAAAAGACGCGAACATTCCCAAAATTGGGAACTCATACCATCAGCAGATCGAGCTCGTGAAACTGATATCCTACAAATATCCACGAACATTCGAGATGATGGAGCATAAGCATAATTTCCAATCAGCACTGCTTTTTTAAAGCTATGAACACTTATATCTTCCATTAGTGAGTACACTGATAAAAATAAGATACCATACGTAACTTGCAGTCAGCGACAAAAGTTTAAGCAAGTTTGTTTTTTTCGCTTTTTTTTACACATTCGTTTTTAAAACTTTTCTTGGACAAAAAAAAACACTAA